CTCCCTCCCTTCCTCCCTCTTCTCTTTCTCTCTCTCTCTCTAGTTCTTTCTTCTTTCTTTCTTTCTTTCTTTCTTTCTTTCTTTCTTTCTTTCTTTCTTTCTTTTTGGTACGTGCCCCTAGCAGGAACCAAACCCGGGACTCTCTGGTCCACAGGCCAACGCTCCAACCGCTGAGCCAAACCGGCCAGGGCTGTTAACAGTTTCTTATGTGTCCTCAGACATTCTTTCTGAGGATAGAAGAAGGTATTATCCTGTGAGAGTCAGGGTGAGAAGTTCCCATAGGTAACCATCATTCCTTTTCTCTGAAAGCCCCAGTAATTTCTTGTCTGGAATGCAAAGCTCGAGGTGCGTAAGGCTGTCAGTGGGCTGCCCACCTCTCCCTGAGAGCTGGAGGTTGAAGCCCAGACTGCACACAAATATTACGACTGCCTCGGGCACGAGGGAGAGTGAGCTGGGAGTCAGGTGAGCTGTCTGTCAGGGGCTGGAGGGGAAGTTGTCTGAGCATTGCTGAGATCCACCACGTTCTCACCACCCTGTATGCCTCTAATCAAGGCTTCAGTGTCCGCCCCTCATCTCACCAGCAACAAATAGGGAGTGTCTTCTGTCTCGTGTGCCACCTCCTGCAGTCCCCAGAAGAGTCTGGGCTCATGCCTGTTTATACCAGGTGGCCCCCAGGCTCGTCACCTCCTTACCCACCCGGGTAGACTACAGAGCCAGCTGGATGACCCCTAGTGCTTTTTCATTTTTGTTATACAAGAGTTACACATAAAGTCCCAGAAATAGACTTTACACTCTAGAATAAACCCTGATTTAGTCTCGCTGAACGAACGAACCTGAGCCAGGCGCTTTCCCTTAATAGGCTTTAATTTCCTCATCTATGAAATGGAATTAACAACAATAACTAACCTCCTAGGAAGAAAAGTCGTCTCTTCACAGCTATCCTATCCTTATGGGGCTGGGTTCTTAAGAACAGAGACCATGTTGCCCTAGCTGGCGTGGTTCACTGGTTAGATCGTTGTCCCACCCACTGAAGGGCCTTGGGTTTGATTCTCAGTCAAGGGCATGTACCTGGGTTGCAGGTTCATCCCCAGCCTGGGTCAGGGTTGTGCGGGAGGTAGCCGATCCATGTGTCTCTGTCACATCAATGTTTCTCTCTCTCCCTGCCTCCCACTCTCTCTAAAATCAATGGAAAAAATATTGCTGGGTGAGGATTAACCACCACCACCACAACAAAAAATAGAGCTCACGTTTTACACAGATCTGTATTTAATAAGTGAATGAGAGGTATTGTCATCCCCAGTTTATACCTGAATCGATGAGCTAAACTTCTCCCTCAGGCCTCGACGTTCAGCCGCTCTCCGCGCAGGCAGCCATCAGTACCTAAGCAGAGACGAGGGTAGATTATTTCCATGGGCTGCTGGCTCCGGCTCCCTCACAGCAGTGGTTTCTGAGTGAAATGGACTGCGTGAGTCAACGGGGAGGCCAACCCCATTCTGGAATTTGGGGTAATTGTGGCAACAGTCGGGCATTGACTCCCTCCCTTCGCTGTGTCCCGATGGCCCAGGGTGGGGGCTGCCCTCATGGTCACGGCCGCCCTGGGCCGCCTGAGGGCCCACTGGGCGTGAGAAAGTGGTGAGCTCAGGGCACTCAGACGCCTTTCCACGACTCAGACGCCTTTCCACGGGCACCCGTGACTCATGCTCCTGCAGAAGCTCCAGCTTATCTCAGGGAGGCTGGCAGAAGGGTCGCCTGTGCTGTGGCTGAGACAAGTGTTCAAAGCCAAGCAGAGCTTTCCGTGAGGGGGGGCTGCCTTAGGAGGAAGGAGACGAGGTAGTTAGCACCATGGAATGTGATTGAGACCCAAACCCTGGAAGGCCCCTCTCTCCAGCCCTCCTCCCCCACTCTCCACTAACACTCGGCCACTGGGGACCCCCTCACTGAGTGGAGAGCGGCCCCGGAGACACGGCCTTTCACGTTGTAGGGCTCACTGCCCTCTAGGGCTTCTCCCCACAGCCCTGAGGAGTGCCCCGTTCTCCACAGTCCCTTTCACCACAAACCCTGTCTGTTCAGGTTGTTGCCAATCTCTCAGGCGGGGGCATAACAGAAGGAACACACATGGAGGAAATAACAAGGAACCTAGAAGCTTTCCAAAGGTTATCCTCTTAGCCTGTAGTTCCTGAGTCTCGTTCTGAGTCCCCAGTTCTCCTGCACCCCTCACGTACTCCCCGTCGAACCTCCACGTCCCTCAGTCCCCCCTCCTCACTTTAAAGATACCGTTGGAGATGAACAACAGAAGCTGTGTTCATTCTTTTTTGTTGCAATGCCATACGTATTCATTGTTTCATCGGTATTAACGTGTCCCAGGCATTGTCCCAGGTGACAGGAACACAGTGGTGATCGTGGTCCTTATCCTTGGGTGCTTACAGGCAAGGGAAGGAAGACAGGTAACAAGCAAATTAACAAGTAAACCTGATAATCTGTCAGTGGCATGAAGGTGACAAATGTGGGCTGTGATGAAGGGTGATGGGGTGGGGGCTTCTGAGAAGTGACATTTGAATGGAAACCTGAAGGATGAGAAGGAGGCAGTCCTGCGGGGCCACAGGGAAGAGCGGGGCGGAGCCAGCAGCGCAGGGAGAGGAGCAGCTCCTGCAGAGGCCTGTGCTGGGGGGGGGGGGGGCGGGGGGCTGGGAGCGTTCGAGGACCAGAAGGAGGCTGTGTGGCAGCCAAGTGTCTAGTGGAGTGACACCGATGGAGTGGACAAGCAGGCCAGACCAGGAAACACAGGGGCTAGGTTTACAGTATGGGGTTTGTCTTGACAATACACGCCAGGGATTGTAAGCAGTGGAGGGGCAGGTTCTGCTATTCATTTTTGAAAAGTCAAATGTAGGTGCTTAGTCATGGTTTCCTAAAGGGTGCCTTGATGGGCTGAGTCACCTCGTCTTAAATAGATGACTTACACTGAAGGGGAAAAGGACACCCACCTGGGCCCTGACAGGGACTGGAGGTGTAGCAGGGACCTGTCTCCCTCCTGCTCAGGGAGTCCACCCCTCCAGCCCGAGGCGTGCAGGAAACGGGAGCGGGATGGAACAGATACCGACAGGCAGGAAAAGCCAGTGAAGTTAGGAAAACCATCTTTCCAGTCCATCTTGACATGGATCTTGGACCCTTGGAGTCTCATTCCATGACCATTCTGAGATGGGCTCTCTACTATCCCCCCTAAATGGAGCTATCATTTCCTACTCGGTCTTATGGTTCATTGGACAGAAATCTCTCAACATCACTTACTTCCCTGAGGTACTCAAGCCTGGGGAAGTTAAGTGTGATTGGGACAGAATAAGACCCTCAAAAAATGTTTGTGTCGGTGCTGGAGACCCCCAAAGAAGTGTGACGAGCAGGGGTCTGGCTGAGAGTAGCCGGGCGATTGTCCTGGCCAGCACATCCTCCCAGCCCCAGGCTCCAGGCAACCCTCGGTGGACTGACCTGCTCTTAGGATGCTAAAGCTGCAGAATGGGGTCAGAAATACTACACGCAGTGTCTGGGGAGGTGCCCCCGGCCCCTGCCACCTTTCCACAGCGTGTTTGCCATTTCCAAGCAGAGGGAGGCTGGGCGGCTTCCAGAGGAAAGCTAAACAGGAAGCATACAATGTTCAAGGAGCCGATAGCTCACTTTCAATCAGACCGCTTGGCTCTCAGACCAAATCTGAGCGCCTGCTCTTTGAAACACTCTTCCTCATCAAATGAGGTTCTGCTAAGAGGATTTACGCCCCCGGCCTCACGTGGCAAAGCTACCCAGAAGGCGAATAAGTCTGTGTCCCCAGGCTTGATTCCTCCCCACGAACCCAGAAACCAGTTTTCAACCACCAGCTTATTTCCCGGATGCCCCGCCAGTATCTTTCAGTCAATGGGTCCCAAACCAACTCATCTTCCCATCCTGGCTTTCCTGTTTCTGTTAATGGAATCACTGTTCCCTCTGCTGCCCCAGCTGGAAACATCTGAGTCATCCCTGACTCATCCTTCTCTCTTTTTCTCTAGATCAAATCAACTCCCGAATCATGTAGTGTCTATTTCCGTGATGCCACTTGAATCTGTCCCCTCCTTCCTCCTGCCACCGTCCCTTGTCCCTTTTCGGTGTGGGCAGTCATTACTTCCCTCCCGGGGGCGCATCCTCACTTATTCCCTCACTCCTCCCCCCCCCCCCCTGCTGCTGACACAGGGCTCCTCAAACACAGACGGATGCAGGGCTCTCTCGCCAGCAGTCTGACGTGGCCCCCCTGCTGCCACAGTAGCTATAGACCATCTTTGACCTTTATAAGTCACCATCCCTTTTCTGATACCTCATGTTCCAGTTCCATGTATTCATTCCTGGTGCAGGACCTAACGCTTTGTCTTTCCTTGAATCCCCTTACATGGTTTTGCAAAAAATAAAGTCTTCTTATATTACCAAATCCTGTATTGTCTGCATTTATATGCTTGTTTTATCTCCTTGGAAGAGCCCGTGTTTCTGTAGTACTGGTCTCGTATTTATTTTTACTTCCTCTAATATTTGAGCACGTGTATATACCACGCGCGGCTCTGAGGACACCTGTGTGAAATCATTTACTCTCACAGCAATTCTAACTGTACCCCCATTTTACAAGACTGAGTCGCAGGGATGTTGGGTCACTTGTGAAGGTTCCATAACTAATAAGTGGCAGGGCCTGGATTCAGATCACATGGTCTGACCCCAGAGCTCAAGCTCTAAACCATTGAATTCATATTCATCTTTGTGGCCTGCATTCTTGATGGCACAGTTGGGCTTTAGCTGATGTTTGCTGACTGAACTGAAGTTCCAGGCACGTGTCCATTCTTGGTCAGAAATATCAATGGTAGGCTGAGTGTGTAAATGTAACCCGATAGCAAGAGCTGCTTTAAGGTGTTTCCGAGGAAACCACAATAAAGCTAAGAGACATCTTTGTGCTATTTTTTTTTTAACCTGTTCTTTTTTTTTCTTTCTTATTCCAGTACATGGGCTGCATTGAGGTGCTGCAATCAATGAGGTCACTGGATTTTGGAATGAGAACTCAAGTCACAAGGTAGGAGAACAAAAATGGGAGGGGCTTTGAGGACTAGTTTTTATTTATTTTATAAGAGAAAGCTTATTTAGAAGGTCACCGAGGTAGAAAAAGCGAGCCAGCTGGGCTGGGTGGGCTGGGGAAACAAGTCACAGAGGCCCAAGAAGAGGACTATTTTTTAAAGTCGCGGGAGTTTCTCCCTGCAGACATTTCTTGCAAGCCTTTCAAGTCACCGTGGGTTGTTATTCACGACTAGCAGGTAGAACACAGTCCAGTGACCTTGGTTGAGTCAGTGGCTCTATCTCATCGCGTGAAAGATTTTCCAGCTCTGTGGCGGAGCACCTGCGTTTTATGTAAGAACTGATAAGAGGATGCAGTCACAGACAGAGCTGCATGCTCAGGTGCCTAAAGTATTTAAAATGATACCTAGACACGGAGCCTTACAGAGTCTGAGACCTGTTGAAGAGGTAGCTGAAACGAAGACCAGAACTGTTCCATCTTCCCGGTTTATTATTATTATTTTTTTCATCCTCACCCAAGGACATTTTTTGCATTTATCTTCAGATAGAGCAGGAGGGAGAGAGGGAGGAAGAGAGAGAAACATCAATGTGAGAGAGACACATCAAGTGGTTGCCACCCACACGACCCCAAATGGGGCCAGGGACAAATTGCAACTGAGGTACGTGCCCTTAGCAGGAACCGAACCCGGACCTCTCTGGTCCGTGGGCTGACGCTCTAACCACTGAGCAAACTGCCCAGGGCCCATCTTCCCAGTTTAAAGCTCTGTATTTATTCAACAATAACTCCCCTTCCCCTGCCCCCACTGCCAGCCCCTGGCGACCACCATTCTGCTGTATGCCTATGACTTTGACTGCACTAGGTACCTCACATAAGCAGAAGCATACAGTATTTGTCTTTTATGATTGGTTTATTTCACATAGCATAACGTCCTCAATGTCTGTCACTAGGCCAAACAATATAAGTATTTTGAAGACTGTTGATGTCTATTGCTAGATCGTTCTGCGGAAGAACCATACTAGATGATACTCCTCCTTCCGGCCATGTTTCCAATTGTTGTTAGGATCTATTTTTTAATTGTCGTAAACTTGTAAGTCAGTGTTTTTCTATTGTTTAATACATGGTAAAAGACTATTGTTTTCTGTGCCATGAAGTTTCAGTCTGTGGCTAATATATACACCCAAGGTAAGGTGTCTGGGATGGTTTCTGGATATAATTCCTTGTGGATGTATCTGTGTGTGATTTGGGCAAGGCCGATGGTGCTGTGGGCAGATTTGTAGGAGTTTGAGGGTGGTGGTCTTTTTATAGATTAGGAGGTGGGGAAGGCTCTCCGAGGGGAAGCTATTTGAGCTAAGCCCTGAATAAAGCAAGGGACCCGCCACGGGAGTGCAGGGAGAACAGCGCAGGCAGAGGGGGGATGGCGCTCACACCGTCGGCCCGCAGCAGCAACACTGCTAGGGCCGGACACCTGGGCAGGTTGTTTGGTAAGAGTGTGAAGAATGTACATCTTCTAGGAGTGATACAAAAAATGACGAGTAGGCTCCAGCTCAGGGAGAGGAAGGGCTGACTGGATGGGAAATTCAAGGTTGCCCTATGGGGCAAGTGGTCTGGCTTGAAGTCAGGAGACTCCAGCCACGTTAGCCCAGAGACCTTGTCCCCAGTACGGCTCGAAAGCAGTGAAGCTGACCTCCCTCCACCACGGCTAAACATCAGTCTCCCTGCTTCAGAATCATAGGCTCTAGGCTGCCCCTTCCTAGCTCCCAAACCCCTTCTCTGGAGCCTGTAGAGTTTGGGGTGCTGTATCTTGTTGCTAGCTGGGCTCGGGAGCAGACCCGAGACTCCCTGATCCAGATGGGAGGAGAGAAACCATCAAGGCAAGTGAGATAGAAGACAAAGGAGAAGATATAAAATAGGTATGTCTCACTTTAAGGAATTCACAAAAATTGAAATTTATTGAACAGAACAGTTATCATGCAGAGTGCACCTCTGGGTTCCTTTAAGTAATGAATTCCTCGCTGGTGTTTCAAAGAAGATTCAACGTATGAAAGAAAGTATTTTTGCCCCAGGAAGTGGGGGTGATTTTTGAAACTCCAGGTCTTGTAGGACATTCTCCAAGTGGATAAAAGCTTTGGTGTTAGCCCACAACAACAGATCTCCCTGTATGTTACCTGGGTGAGAACATTCTATTTGGGACCAGCATATTTTCTTTAGGTCCCCATCCCCCACCCCCCAATATTAGACTGGTGCATCCAGTGAAGTGTGCCCCTCAAAGCCACATGGGTGTCACTGGTCCCATCGTTCTCACGTGAGCAGCATAAGAAGACTTTCCCCAAAACCTCTAATTTCCACCTACTTCCCAAATATTTACTCTTCTTCTGTCTCTTTTAAATGTTCCTTTTTTCTCTCGTTCTCCTTTGCTCTCTCAACTTCTGTGTATTTTGACCTTCACCCACTCCTCGAGTTGCTTCATTACCAGTTGTCTTAGATGTTATCATTAAAACACTACCGTTGCATCAGGTTTCAAATGGTTTTAAATGTACCTTTTGCATATTCACAAAGTTTCATTGCGCTCATAATTTTACTTAATGCAAGACAATAATTTTCAGTGGACCACTTAGAATTCCAAGAGAAAGAATTTGGTTTTGCATGGCCACGGCTATCCCTTGACATCATGCAACGTAGATCAGTGGGGTGTCACCGCCGGTAAACTTGTGTGATGAGTTGCCACTTCAGTTACAAACAACTGTTTTCAGGCTGATGTCCCACCCTGGAAGATGTTCTTACCCTCTCTATCCTAGCTTGCACATTACTGCAGACAACAGGGAGACAGCAACATGAAATTCCCGGGAATGAAGGAGGAGCTGTGACTGACACACCCCCACGGGGTCAGCATGTGAAACAGAGAAAGAAGGCGGAGCACAGTTCTTGTCTTTCTGAGGGACCTGTCTGCCACTTGTCTGAAGGCTGCATCCACGGGGCCTGGAACACAGGAAATGCTCAAATAGCGCCGCAGAGGAAAAGCAAAGGACAAGAGACCACCCACTTTCAAAGCTCCCATTGCACTTGTACCTCAGTCCAGATGTAGTCCCTCAGGGAGCCCTGTGAGTGACAGTTACGGCTGTTCTTCCACTAATTCTCACCCACTTTTATCTTCTTGACGGATGTAGGACCAGATCTCAGTTTTTAGTAATTGAGTAGTCATGCAAAAGGGCAGAGGAGGAGGTTTTCCTCCATAGTAACGAGAAACAAGATCATTAGAAAAACAAAGGCTCACAGACGCAGTTGTCTTCAACATGCCTGGAAAACAGTACCAAAAGGATAGGAAAAGGGAGAACATGAAAATCACGCTCATGATATATAGTCATTTTTTTTCTCTCATAAAAATTTTCTCATCATGAGTTTAAAAACAAAGCTCAAGAAAACAAAAAACCTTATTTGATCAGAAATACACACATGCACACATGCGCGTGTGCACACACACACAGAGAAAATCAGATCACTAAAACATAAAGCCCCACTTCCCTCCCTTGAGTAAACATCCACATCATGCGAAGAATACATTTCCCCTCCCCCTAAGGATGCTTCCTTTGTGTTTAGGTGGGCACCTGCCTCAGGTGCCAAAGGAGGAAGAAACCCATCAAGGGCAAACCTGTAAGAGGAGCTGGTGGGACAGGGCTTGGCTTCCAACCCTGAAGAACAGAACTTCACAGGAAACTGTCGTCAATGGGGACATGTAGTTCATCATCACAAAACAAAATACGGGGGTAGGCAAAAGTAGATTTACAGTTTTTCATATGGAAAATAATACGGTAATTAATAAGTAATAGTACAAGAATAGACTCTGTATTTTCATATTTTCACAACTGTAAACCGACTTTTCCCCCACCCTGTACACCCTGAGGGGCAAGGCACACTGCTGGTGGGAGGGCCCTCCAGATCATAGGGCCCTCAGATCATAGGGCCCTCAGATCATAGGGCCCTCAGATCATAGGGCCCTCAGATCATAGGGCCCTCAAATCATAGGGCCCTCCAGATCATAGGGCCCTCAGATCATAGGGACCTCAGATCATAGGGCGCTCCAGATCATAGGGCCATCCAGATCATAGGGCCCTCAGATCATAGGGCGCTCCAGATCATAGGGTGCTCCAGATCATAGGGCCCTCCAGATCATAGGGCCCTCCAGATCATAGGGCCCTCTGATCATAGGGCACTCCAGATCATAGGGCCCTCTGATCATAGGGCGCTCCAGATCATAGGGCCCTCTGATCATAGGGCGCTCCAGATCATAGGGCGCTCCAGATCATAGGGCCCTCCAGATCATAGGGCCCTCTGATCATAGGGCACTCCAGATCATAGGGCGCTCCAGATCATAGGGCCCTCCAGATCATAGGGCCCTCTGATCATAGGGCCCTCTGATCATAGGGCACTCCAGATCATAGGGCACTCCAGATCATAGGGCCCTCTGATCATAGGGCGCTCCAGATCATAGGGCCCTCTGATCATAGGGCGCTCCAGATCATAGGGCCCTCCAGATCATAGGGCCCTCCAGATCATAGGGCCCTCTGATCATAGGGCACTCCAGATCATAGGGCCCTCAGATCATAGGGCCCTCTGATCATAGGGCCCTCCAGATCATAGGGCCCTCAGATCATAGGGCCCTCCAGATCATAGGGCACTCCAGATCATAGGGCCCTCAGATCATAGGGCCCTCAGATCATAGGGCATCATAGGGCCCTCTGATCATAGGGCCCTCCAGATCATAGGGCACTCCAGATCATAGGGCCCTCAGATCATAGGGCGCTCCAGATCATAGGGCACTCCAGATCATAGGGCCCTCAGATCATAGGGCCCTCTGATCATAGGGCACTCCAGATCATAGGGCCCTCAGATCATAGGGCCCTCAGATCATAGGGCCCTCCAGATCATAGGGCACTCCAGATCATAGGGCCCTCAGATCATAGGGCGCTCCAGATCATAGGGCCCTCAGATCATAGGGCCCTCTG